GGCAAAAAAAGAAAACTAGGTAGACACCTGAACCACTAAAACAGGGCCAGGGTAGTAAGTAATACACACACAGGATGCATTGGATCTGCCTCTATACCCGCAATGGGCAGCTGGTGGCCTGCCAGATGTTTTTGCACTACAGCTCCCATAGTCCATTACTACTGTGCATGCTGACTGGGGCTGTTGTGAGTCATAATCTGAATCAGTTTACCTTGACCTCTAAGACTAGGTTCAGTCAGTCAGTCAGTTGTGGGTTGTTGCTGGACAGTGGGTTGTCAGGTTGTCTGAACCCACCCAAGACAAAAAGACATTGTGAAAAACCCATAGCTCCCAACCCAACAACAAGCCATAGGCTCTTTTCATTAGGTTTTAGGGTTAACAAACCATGCTACTTAGATATGTATAGTTAACATACCTGGATTTGCTACTTAGATTAGATTCAGAGAATACAACAAGCCATGATTCAACAACAGCCTGTGCTCAACCTTGAGTGTGGCTTATTGCGTTGGCTGAACTTAGTTTAAATCTAACATCTTGCATAAATAGATGCAATGCAAGGCTGGAACAGTGTAAGTTATGGTTGAGTTTCAAAACTCTGCTCATCAACAGACTTTGTTCCCATCCAGCATAGCTTAGTCAGAGGTTTCGTGGAGAACCTGTGCCTCACCTCTGGCATTCCAAAGAGGCCAAACACTTGTTTTCCAGCTAATTCTCTTCTCAGAACCATTGACCTATCAGGAGACTACACACTGGAAAACTAGATGTGTGAACAAAAGTGAAGGATGGGAATCTACTTGTTGTGTAAAGAGAAGTGAGCAGGCAATATTGACTTGATCTCCTTCACGGATTGGGAAAAAAACAATGATGCAAAAACTCTTGTTCTTTTGTTCCCATTGACAGCCTTGTCTTGTTTCCTGGTCTGTCATGTGTTGGGAAATGTGACTTCATTTATTTTCCACTGGGCCATCCCTAATCCTTGAGTGCAATTGCAACATCTCATTTTTATGTTGCCTTGATGATTTTAAAAATGCATGACTTAGTGGAAAAATCCTGACCTCCTCTATTGCAGCTGTTGGAGATAAGATTGTTCGGGCTATTAAAGCACACACACACAAACCAGGCACAACACATTTGGGGGATGTTTATTTAAGGAAATCATTTATTCCTTAGTTTTAAAAGGAGTGGGTGGAAACAGACAGTTTATTTTCAAAATAGCTATTCTAGGTTTGACCTAATGTACCTAAGACAGCAATAAAGGCTCCGGTGTTTCCCACACTGCTGGAAACATGAGCACAATCATATTATAATCCATTTGTTCCCCTACATATGCTCCAAATCTGGTGCCCTCCAGATGTTTCAGATTGCAACTTTCAGCATCTCCAGCCATTGCCCTTGCTGGCTGAGGCTGATAGAAGTTGAAGACCATGTCATCTGGAGGGTACAGGGTTGGGAAATAAATGCCCAAGTCATCTGCTCTTGGGCTGACAGGGATCTGATTTTTGCAAGAGGGAGGGCTCTGCCTGAGTTTTGGGGACCCCTCATTTCTACCCATGGACCACAGCTTAGTCTGTTCAGCAGGGTCTCCTTGCTGTCAGCATAGCATTTTCAGGGAGGTGGGGCGGCTGCCAAGGGAAAGAGGGTGGGGAAGCCCCCTCTCTCCACATAACACAGGACTCAGTCCATGGTTACTGCAGATATGCAACACTCAGGCTGTGGGGTGTGGTGACAGACCTCACCCAACCTTAGTAGGCTGTTTAGCCAAAGCAGTTCCAATGTGCTGTAGGGATGATGGAGATATTTATTTATTTGTTTATTTATTAAAACATTTCTATGCTGCTCCATTCGCTGAAGCCTCGGGGCGGCTCACAACATAAAATTAAAATACAAGAAATAACAATGTAAAATAAGTCGCCCTGGCCAGAGATCACACCCGTTAGCTGCTAACACCCTTCCAGCACTTTTGCTACATAGGACATTTGTCATGCCTAGTCAGTCCCTACTCACAGTTCTTTAGACAGTGGCATGACCCTATCGTTTTGCTAATAAGGAGCGTTTTCAACAAGTTTTGTTAGAGCAGGGACGTATGACATATAACTGTAAAAGAAACCATTTTAAAATGTGTTCTATTTGCACCATTCTGTTACCCCACAGTGTTGCTGGGAGGTTCCTGAGTGGGAAAGCAGGAAAGGAAGCATTCTTTTGTATTGTGCGCTTGAATCCCCGTTCTGTGATGATGCCAAAAGTAGGACAGCTGATGAACAACCTCATGTAGGAAACCTCTTAATGTCTCGATGGGATGACATTTTTCTGTCATTGCAAGAGTGGTTGCCTGGCTTAAAATGCAATGCTTGACTCTCCATTCCATCTGGTTGCCCCACAAGGCCATTTATTGTGGGGTGGCTGAAGATTCAGATTTCTTCATGGAGGAGAAAGCTGTCAAGGGCCACTAGTTGTGATCACCATGTGTGAGTTACCCCACTATCAAAGGTAGTGTGCCTTTGTACCCCAGGTGTTGGGGACTTGGGCCGGAAGGGGTTGTTGCATCTGGTGAGCATCTGTGAGCATCTGGTTGGCCACTTTGTGAACCAAAGGCTGGACTCAATGGGCCATTGGCCTGATCCAGCAGGGCTTTTTCCTGCATTCTTAGTGCTCCAGTTGGGTAGAGAGCTGGTTGTGGTGCATAAACAGCCAAGCCTTTGCCGGTTGCAGTTGCTCACAAATCCAGAGAAATTAGAAAATGAGATGCTTAGTTGGCCATCTCAACAGAGCTGCCAGTGGCACAGCCGAGGTGGCAAACGGGAACATACACATACCGGTTTGCCTGCTTCCTGTGTCCATGTTGCCCATCTACACCTAGATGCACCTATCTGGGAAATGTAGTTGGGTCAGAACCCCTGCAGGTAATGTGCGGATGTGTGTGCACATAACCTTCAACAGAGTAGGAGTCCGTTCTACTGTTCAAAACCCGCTTCTGAGCTGGGTGAATGGGTGAGCTTCTTCCTGCATTAGCTTAGGAAATAATCTGTCCAAGGATTGGAAAAGAGCATACACAGCCCCCTTCCACAATGCCTTCCTTGCACCTCCAACTCCCCTACCCCAAACAGAGGTTGTCATGCAGCATTAGTGGCAGGATCAGATAGAAATGCTAACTATTCAAGAATTTGTGGTACATGTTGAGTTGGAAACTTTTGCACTCCTAGGATTAAACACTAAGGCTCCTCTGGAAGTGCCAGCGGCCAATGTCCTGTTGTTTTTGACATGAATATTTTAATAGAAGGGTGCTCCAGTGGTGGTCAGAACATGCAGAAACACATAATTGGAAGCTGGTTCATACATGTAAATATCATTGGGTACTGCAGTCACCAGGGCCGCGAGAACTTTCATATTGTCATCTGTCGTACTGAGCACTATGCACTCCATTGGTGTTAATTCATCAAGGGTAGCATAATGAATATGTAACTATGTATAAACCTGCTCTGGTTCTATAGATCAGACTTATATATTGCTATATTCATAGTAAGTGCTTTTCATTGGAAGCTTGTTTACTGACAGCATGAGTTGTCACTGTCAAACACAGAAAGGGATATGAGTATAGACGGGTTAAAAAAGAGGAGAGAATTAGTTTATTTCACCTGAATATGAAGAATTTCTTTATTAAATTGCTAAACCACTGATGCTCTGTAACACAGTAAAGCATAATAAACAGAGACGAAAGTGATGGATGGCCTATAAATATCCTAAATAAATAAATATTAAAAATCTAAGGCTTAAATCAATTTTAAAAAAGTAAAATCGAGAAGCAGTGCCAAGATCTAAACGTTTACTTGTACAGTTTGTAAAAGTGAAGAACTAAAAAGTCTGGGCAAATAAAACAAGTTATGGACTTGGTATTACAAAGAGCAAATGTAGGCACCAAGTGAGTCTCACTGGGGAAGCACGTTCCACAGCCAGAGTACCACCTAGAAGCCTAGAAGTAGACTGGCAGACAGCACAGATCGTAAAAACACTGGTGTAACATGATCATATTGGTCTGTCCCTGTTAAAAATCTCACTGTCCTATTTTTGGACTAGCTGAAGCTTCTGGACCATCTTCAAAGGCAGCCCCATGCATGGCATATTTCAGTAATCTAAACATGAGGTTGATCCAGAGCCTGGATAATTAGCAAAGCTATCTCTAACAGTTGATGTGTCAGCTTAAGATGATAAAAGGTGCTCCGTGGCACCAATGTGCTTCTTGTCCAAAAGCACCCTCAAACCTCTAACCTGATCATTTAGGGCGAGCGCAACTTCATTCAGAACAGATTGTGTACAGCTCATTTGGGCAGAAGAATCATTCATTAACAGCTCCTCCATCCTGTATGGCTTATATGGTCCTCCTCTAGTTCATTGCTGCACCCAGGTCCTGATGCACAGTGCTCACAGCCTTGTTGAAAAGGTGGAATAGAGCTGGGTTCATCTTCATATTGGTGCCACTTCAGTCCATATTTCCAAATCATAGTAGATTTGGGAAGGGCCAAGAAGGCCATCGGGTTCAACCCCCTGCTGTTGGAGGACACCAATTTACACCATCCCGCTTGGCTGCCCAGTACCTTTCTGAATGCCTCTAGTGTGATAAACTCCTCCAGGGAATTAATGTAGATGAATGGATAGATTGGACAAGCATGATGGATAAAATAGGGCTTCATGACACCTCACACCGTAACTGTCAAGGGACAAATCAAGACCCCCTCCCCTTCTGGAGTTTCACTGCAGTCCTTCTGGCACTCAGCCTAGACAGCCCGTCTACAAAGATCCCATGGCCAGCGCAACTGTTCCTTATGAGTGGACCAGTTGCTCGGAGCCCAGCTTCACCCTCGTTGCAATGGCTGCATCTCTAGTGATGGCAACTGCATTTGCTCAGGACGAGTCACTATCTGCTTAACAATTAGGATAGCATGAGAATGTCAAGTTTCCTAAAGCCAACTGTAGAAACACTGACTATTGCAAATTTCATGTTTCAGATTTTCCCTGATCCTTCGGACTTTGATCGTTACTGTAAGTTGAAGGACCGTCTCCCTTCCATTGTGGTAGAGCCAACAGAAGGAGATGTGGAGAGCGGAGAGCTTAGATGGCCACCGGAGGAGTTTCTGGTCCAGGAAGAAGAGGAAGAAAACTGTGATGAAGCAAAGAAAGAGAACAAGGAGCAATAAATGGCACAGAGTCTTCTGTACAACTTAAGATGCTGTGTCGTCTTGAGGAGGGAGAACAACTGTTCAGAAGTGTCTTTTTCTACAAAAGACATTTAATTTTGCATCTGCAAGATCTTAGTTTTTTCATATTCTCTATTGAGAACTGAAGTGCTTGACGTGACAATCTCCAGCTGAAACGAAAGAAGAAAGTTGGATAGGGGGGAAATATGGCTGCTCTTCTCAAGATCACTGTTGAATTTTGCTGAGGTTATCTGGGATGGTCATGAAAGAACAGGGCGCTTGGGTGGGGGTGAAACAGGCAGGAAGCACGCTTTTTTTGAAGTGTGTAGAGTGGAAGAAATGACTACCAAGGGTAAAATGCAGCTGCATTTCTGTAAGGAACTGTCTCTGGCAAGAAAAGCTTGAGAATAGTATTCATCTCTCAAAACTTTGCCTTCTTATACTGCTTTTCTTGTGGGTGTATGTGTGCGCGTGTGTGTACACGCGCTCGCGTGTGTGCGTGCATGTGGGGATTGGGAGATATGGTAACATGCCACTCAAATGCTCCAGTGACATTACTAAGGCTCTGCTGAGCAGCATGGTGGAACAATGGATCTTTCACATAGTTTTTAGTCCAGGATCCTCCTAAAGTCACACAATTTCTTGTAGGGATGCTCATATTTGGCATTGGCTTACCCAGCCTGTTACACAAAACCTAAGTTTTCTTTCTCCCCCTTCCACCACTCTTTCTTAACATGCCAACTTTGCTACATTAAACACCTTTTTCTCAGCATACCATTGCTGACTTTGGGAATAGACCTTTGCCCCTTCCTCTGCAGTAGCCTTGTTTATCCTGCACTAGGTAACAAGCAAGTAGTCTCAGGTGCAACCTTATGCAAGTTTGGACAATAAAGGGCCTACAGCTTGCTGCAAAATATTCTGCTGACGGAGGCATGCTTGAGTTGTGGGCCTTTTTTCTGCCTACATCTGTATAGGATTGCCCCTTTTATTCTAACGACAATTTTGGCCAGTGTTAAAAAATTGCAAGAGTTTTGCCATAAAGATAATTTAGGTATATTTCATTTTTGTTTTCTGGTCCCCAGAGGTGCAGTTAAGCCTTCTTGCCAATGATCCAAATACATCTGGTTGTGCTGAGAGGTCAGCAGCTTTGGTTGCAGATGGGTTACGTGGCTTCATCATCATATACAAGTGCTATTTGATGGATTCACAGGAAGCAAGCTGGGCCACCAAATAGGATGAGCCTATTTGTAGCACTGACCTGAAAACAGGAGTAATTGTTGAAAGAAAGCAGGTCTTCTCTTCAGAAAAAAAAAAAAATACAAGTATTACAGTTTCTCAGTATTGTGGAAGAAATGATACATTAAACAAACGCATGTTTCTGTTTGAGTTACTGATGGGGCCTAAATTGTGAGTTCCAGTTTTCCAGTAATAACATTCACTCCTTTTGTCCTATTTATTCTCTTGTAGGAAGAAAAGCAAACTGCAGGATAAGCTAAATTTGCTGTTTTCTAGGGAAAGCAGGGCCTTGACCATTCGGTAAAGCCTCTTTTTGTATGAAAGGACCACTCTGTGTGATGGAAAGCCAATGATTTACCTTTTAATTATGGAGACACTAATGTAATTCACACACATCATGGCCTTAACAGGATATTCAGAGTAATCCCTCATCTCCCAGGTCCCTTTGCTTATTGGCTTTTTTTTTTTTTTTTAAGAAACCTATTGGGACTTCATGTGTATATATTTGTATTTGATACCTCATGAGTAGTAAAAATGCTGGTAAGGGGTTAGGGAATTTGCTTGTTAAAATCAGCAGGATTCTTTTTCCAGTCTTGTCTTGCTTGTGTTTTTCAACATAATGGCAATAACTTTTTTTAACACCTGTGAGTCATTGTTACATGTGGGTGTGAGGTTGCAGATTATGGCCTGAGTCTTTCTTTTTCTTTTTGAGTATAATAATGTAGGGATGTAGTTGGGTGTTCTTGTGTGTTCCTTTGGCAGCCAAGAACCTGTACTACCTGTCCTGGTGGATATTCTGGCATCAGTGAAAACCTGTCTCGTGTCCTTACCTGGCCAAGGTTGTTTTAAAACTGATGGATTCAGCTGTTTTTTGATTGTGTACCCTGGACATGTGTTCTCGTCCTGCTATTCAGTAGAATGAGCTATTACACCTGCACACAACTTTGAATTTCCCTACTTTTTTTCCAACCAAAAGTTATTTTTGTTTCCAATTTTTTGTCCCAGGTTTGAAGTTGTCAAATGTTAACCACTCAGAAAAGCAAAACTCCTTAATGCTTGCAGTCAGAGTGGAAATGCTGTTTGTCTTTTAAATATTTGCATATCCCTTTTCTGCCTCTCTTTATTTTTTAAATTGTTGCTTGTATTTGTCACTCTTGAATGTGTCTGAAGAACAAAGCGCTCCAGCTGAACTTCTCCAGTTGTATATTAATATTACATTCTATATTTCTGTAAAAATTCTTTTTTGAGCCTCAGGGAAAAAGCTAGCATTTTTTTCAAACTACTTTTGTCACTGTGACAGTTGTAAATAAAGTTTGAAAATGCTTTCCAACCTCTGGTCTTTTCGGTGTGTGTTCTTGTAAAGAACAGTGGTACCTCAGCTCATGAATGCCTTGGTTCATGACCAAATCAGGTCGCAAACAAAAATTTCATGGAAAATTTTGACGTGGGTCGTGAGCTCTGCATTGGGTGGTGACCAAGATCGCAGCCATCTCCCCAATGGGGGGATGGGGAGATGGCCAAGATCGAGATCGTGCCCGTCTCTCCCTCCCCCAGCGCACCCTGTGAGTCCTGGAATGGATTAAGTTCATGAGACAAGGTACCACTGTAGTCACTTTCCCACACTGTGACGGAAAGCTGCCCGTGAAGTCAGTTCATGAACAGCAAGATGGGACTGGATGACTTCTAGTGTATGAGTCAGGAACCACAAGGGACCGAATCCAACCCTCTTAAGGGCCCCAGACAACCATAATCCCTCCTGCTGCTTGCACCTTCTTTCCCCCAACCCTCAGTCCTTGGTGCTATCCCAAGTTTTGTGTACTTTCCCCAGTCTAAAACTTCCTTAAGGCTTAGTTACTGGAAGTAAAAGCTTGAAACTCCAGTGTCTTTTGGGCCAATCCACCACTGGCATGCTTCCTCTAAAAGCTCCAAAATTGAATTCAGCCCTCGGGCTGAAACAGGTTTCCCACTCCAGCCAGCTCTAGTGGAGTAACAACCACACCTCGCCTTTATCCCCATTGGAATGCAGAAATTCCTTTACAAAGCAATCAACACATCCACTGTCTTCCAGTTTCAGACTGGGAAGGGATTGCTTAACTGATTATGGGAATGATTCTGCTAGGCTTATGGTGGGTGTTGAGCAGTTTCTGTGGATGTACCACCATGCAAGGAGAGGCTTTAGATCCAGTGGATCCATAGCTGCCCCAACACCCCTTGACATGCCAGCATTTCCCCCACACCCCTGGCAAGCCATCTGTGCTGGCAAAGCTGCCTGAAAGCATGCTCGCTCGGTATCCAGCGGTGTGTTCTTCCATCAGCAGGACCCTGCCAGGACTGTGGCCCTTTTGCTGGCCTGCTGGGAAGATTAGGGCTGCTGCCTTAATCCTCCGTTAATACTTATCCAAAGTCAAGGGCATTGCTCATCAAGTGATGGCATAAATGGGATGTATCTCAAACATACGTCAAGCAAGAAGTAGCTGAACAACCCAGAGGGGTCAAGATTCTTGCTCAATTGTTGATGTATCACTGGCAGAAAATATCACATGCCATCATTATCTAACCTGATAGAATGCGTGTTTATAAACATCCAGAAAAGCAGCAGCCAAGCTAGAAGAAATCCACCACAAATGCCTATGTGAAAAGGACAGGCTTTGCTTAGGACCTGAATGGGTTTACATGCACTTGGTTCCGGTCTTTCTTCTGAGGAGCCCCAGGCAGAGTGCCTGATTCTCTCCCTCCCCTGTTTTGTGCTCACAAGGATCCTGTCAGGGAACTTGGATTTGAGAGATTTTGTCTGGCCCATTAACACTCACTGGGCTTCATGGTAGGAGTGGAGATTTGAAGCCGAACCTGCCCAGCCCAAGTCCTACACTGGTTCACGGTAGGGTGGATTTCCCTTGAGTTATGACCAGAAGGACTTGAAAACAGGCAGTGACTTGCTCATGCAGGAATGCTTGATAATGGATCTAGTCCTCATGATTGCAGGATGGTGAATACAGGACTGTGCCTTTTAACCATGCTGTTTGTGCCTGTTGTGTGCCAGCCAGGTATCCATAATTACCCCCACCTGCATGGCCTGTTGTGATGTCTGAACCTGGTGAGGGTGGAGGATCAACAAACCACTCAGCACCCCTAAAACCGGTCACAGGTTCTGCGTGTTTTGCATCCCTCTCCAACCACTTTTGCCACGTTCAGGCATCCAGCAGCCACACCAGCAAAAGCCATGGAAACCTTCCTGGCACAAAAATGGCAGGGGCAGGGTGATTGAAAGGCCACAGCGACTTATTAAATGCTCTGCAGTCATGTGAACCAGGTCAATATGAATAAACCATGGGCTTTCTGACTTAGCAAGTCACCACATGCTTCCCAAATCCTACAAAAACTGAGTATTTGTGACGAGTTTCACAGCTGTCCTGTGAGTTTTAACAGCCTATGGATTTCCTCCTGAAAATGGAATATTGCTATAACAATAATATACATAGTCCTGCTGGATAACTTCAAAAACAACATTGCCTTAGCAAAGCCTGAAAAGACATTAGCACACTTGAGTTTGGGCACACTCACACTCTTGCTGCACCTCATCTGAATTTAGTCCTGGAAAAGTGTCACCTATTTATAATTCCTTCCTGTCATGATACTGTAAAGTCATAACATGCCTGCTGAAGGAAGTGACGGCAAACTGAAATGCCAGGAATAGCGTTTCAAAGCCCACTGCACATTGAATGGAAGCAACCTCTCTTTCCTGCAGCATCTTTTTTCTACCCCCTCTCCCATCTGCATTTCCTGTATGTACACCCTGTTTATCTCTGCCAGAGTGGCAGACCTATTTATCTCTGAAGATGCGTCACAGTGATTAAGAGAAACCTCCTTCAGTTAAAAGCAATTTACCAGGTGAAACTAACAGTATGTTTGGGTGTAGAAACAAGAGTAATCAACATTTCCTGGAAGGCTCTGATTATGACAGAAGGGGAGCAGGAAGTGTGCTTGTGTACGTTTCTGTCATGACAAATTGTCAAAACCTGTATGCCTCTGGGAAGCAGATAGATCTGGACCCACTGGTGGACTCACGGGAATGGTTTCAGAACAGTGATGACAACGTAGCTTCTGCGTGTCCAACTGTATAGAGCTGAAATGAAGAGTGTGGGGTAACCAGCAGCTCTGTTCTGTTGTGAAACTACTCGGCTCAGTTCTGATAATCCTTTGGCCCTGCATTAGCTGAGTTGCACTGTATGTTTTTTATATCAGGTCCAGCTGGTGGATCTCAAGACCCTGGTTTTTAAAAATCCCAAATAACCTGCCCGTGTGAGATCCCCCACTGTTAATGTGTCTCTCCCAGTGCTCATGTAGCATTATACACAATCTCTCTCTCTCTCTCAGACACACACACACACACACACACACATAGAGAAAGATTGAGAGATAGGATCTTTTAACATTAGCCTTTTAACCTTTAAACTATTTACCATGTCAGACTTGTTCCGTTTTAAAGGGGGTTGGTTTATTAATTGCATAAGAAAAAAAAAAGTATGTAACGATCACACTGGGTATCAGCTTGCTGGTACACTGTGATGTGTTCAGGTCCTTTACTCCAAGTCTCAAGTCTTTACTTTGAAGTCCAAGTCGAGTCTCAAGTCATTGGAAGAAATTTTCCAGTCCAGTCTCTTCTCAAGTCTGAAAAGCCAACTTTAGCTGAAAAAAGGGAGGTGCTGGTGGGGGCGGGGTGTGTGTGGAGGAGTTGGAGAGTTGTCACCCCCCTCCCCATGTTCCCATCTGCACTATCAGGGATGCATTGAAGTCCTTTACTTCAACCACAATTTACTTAAACAGAGATGTGCTGTTATTCAAATTTATCAAGATCTAAGAGTAAAAGAAAATTGGTAGAGATATTTAAAAATCTTTTTAAATTGGAGACCTTTTATTTTTATTTGCATTGCATTTACACAATTTAAAGTCCCTCTATACAGGTAGTCCCCAGGTTTATTTATTTTTATTTAAACCATTTCTATGCCACCCCATTTGCAAAAAGCCTTGGGGCGGCTTACAACATTAATAAATAAACATAAATAAACAGTTATTAGACTTAAAAAACTGGAAACATCTCAGCACGTACATAAAAATCCCAATAAATATAGTTCATAAATTAACAATTAACTTTTAAATAAAAAGGTCTTGGCCTGGCGCCGAAAAACAAATGACGGTGGCGCCAGGCAGACCTCTCTGGGGAGCGCATTCCATAGGTGGGGCGCCACCGCAGAGAAGGCCCTCCTCCGGGTACTCACCCTCCTAATATCTTTCATGGAGGGTTCCCGGAGAAGGGTCTCTGCTGTCGATCTCAAGGGGCGAGAGGGCATATATGGACACAAGTGTTCCTTTAGATAACCAGGTCCCAAGCCGTTGAGGGCTTTATAGGTGATAACCAACACCTTGAATTGGACCCGGACTTTAATGGGGAGCCAGTGAAGCTGACAGAGAACTGGGGTTATATGAGAACAACGCCCAGTCCCCGTCAGCAACCTGGCAGCTCTGTTTTGCTCCAATTGAAGTATCCAGACCGTCTTCAAGGGTAGCCTCACGTAGAGCGTGTTGCAGAAGTCTGATCGGGAAGTTACCAGTGCATGTATCACAGTCGCCAGGCAATCATTCTCCAGGTAGGGACGCAGCTGATGGATCAGCGGAAGCTGAAGGAAAGTGCTCCTCGCCACCGCCGTCACCTGAGCTTCTAATGACAGCTCAGGGTGAAGGAACACTCCCAAGCTACGAACCTTGTCCCTAAGAGGGAGTGCAACCCCATTCAGGACAAGGTCCAGGTACCCCATCCCGAAGCCCAAACCACCTACCAACAGGACCTCCATCTTGTCTGGATTGAGCTTCAGTTTATTGGCCCTCATCCAGCCCATTACCTCGGCCAGGCACCGGTTCAGCACAGCCACTGCCTCACCTGGATTGGTTTAGAACGAGAGGTAGAGCTGGGTATCATCACCGTACTGATGATTCTGCAGCCCACACCTCCTAATGACCTCTCCCAGCGGTTTCATGTAGATGTTGAATAGCAAGGGGGACAAAATGGACCCCTGCAGAACTCCATGGCATAACTGCCATGGTGCAGAGCCATAGTCCCCCAGCACCACCTTCTGGAATCAGCCATTGAGATAGGAGCGGAACCGCTGCAAAGCAGTGCCCCCAACTCCCAATCATGCTAGCCTATCCAGAAGGATACCATGGTTGATGGTATTGAAAGCCGCTGAGAGGTCCAGGAGAACTAACAGGGATGCACTCCCCCTGTCCTTCTCCCTGCACAGGTCATCGTACAGGGTGACCAAGGCAGATTCAATA